ATGCTCTAAATCTGTGCCAAATTTCATGGAGATCCGTTCAGCCGTTTAGGCTACAAACGCTAACAAACATCCATCCATCCATCCATTCATCTAAACTTTCGCATTTATAATATTAGTAAGATTATTTGCTATTTTAATACACCTAGGTACCAGTTATGTGCAGCTCGTTTGCCTGCAATTTTAATAAAATGTTTTGAAATATAGACAATGCAGCGATTTTAATTAAAAGTCAGCTTTATAGACACGAATAGTACAGTAGAAGTATCGTTTAGCATCTATTAAATAACGAAATTACTGTCAAATTATTGATTTAATTATTAATAATAATTTATTATATAATGTAAGTTTTATAAACATTGTTAACTTTAAAGTAGGGACTCGTAGTAGAAATATCGCAATTCAGCAAAGAAAATTCAAAAGAATATTTTCAATGTTTTCAAACTTGAATTATTCAAATTTTGTTTCAGAACAGATTCTTCAGAATTTCCCGATGATGTAAGTCTAGATTTATTTTCACTGGAAAATATGAAATTGCTTTCGACAAGCTTATCGAGCCACTAATGTCAGATGATGAGCCCATTACCATACGTTTGAAACCTTTCAGATTAAAAAAAACTAACTGTATGATATTGAAATATAAGAGAATCCGAGTTTCACCACTTGTAAACATTTCAAACTCTTGCCGTGCTTGAAATGTGAACATTTAAGGGATAAATTTGACTAGTCAGACAGACAGTTTAAATTTTAACATTGGTTCACTATTTTTTGTAGAGAATAAAAATCCGACGCTCCCATCCTCGTCGTTCTAAATCTCAATATCGTCTCCGGGATAAATTCTACGACAAGGGTGCAACTGACAGTTCAGCTGTTGAAGAGTCAGAGAGTCACGAGAGGAATGCCGGCAATCCTTACACTGTACACAAGAATCATTACAAACAAAACTGGATGTGGAATCATGTAGTGAGTTAACTTATTACTATAAACTTAAGTCGTGGGACTACGCTTAACTTGGCTAGCAAGAGGCCCCTAGAATCTAGTTGAGGCCCTATAAAGTCCAAAAATGCGAAGGCATGCAAAAGTCTAGCAAGTGATATGTTCCATTAGGTAATCTCGCGCTGGATTTGGCAGAGAATTTAAATTTGTTACTTTATATATTTTGTTAATTTCTACACAGAAGGAAAAAAGGGGTCAAAATTATTTTTTACTGAGTAACAACATTTTAATGTATTTTGTCTACCTAGACTATTTACTCTGTCACGAGCAAATGTAAAAAGAATTCACTATTGGAAGAATCGCACACAACTTGTTCAGTGTGAAATATATGTATTACGAGCTGTTGCCCGCGACTTCGACTGCGTGGTATTAGAAAACATACAAACTATATAAATTACAAAAAGCTACGTATCCCTGGGGAAGCGGACATTTCTCGGGGATGAAGCTTATCCTATTTGTACTCCAGACGTTGTTTTATATCTGTGCTAAATTTCAATAAGATATGTTGAACTGTTGCAGAATGATCGAGTAAACATTAAAAAACTAAATTAATGAACACCACGGGAACCGTAACTATTAAAGGGATAAAAAGTAGTCTATGTGTTTTTCCAGACTATGCTCTAAACCTGTGCCAAATTTCATGGAGATCCGTTCAGCCTTTTAGGCTACAAACGCTAACAAACATCCATCCATCCATCTAAACTTTCGCATTTATAATATTAGTAAGAAGTAAGATTAGTAAGATTGTTGTACGTTCACATAAAACTTAATTTAAAAGAATTAACTAAGATATGACGACTGACATAAATGTATGGAAGAGCAGCACGTTCTGTGCCAACCCTTCATAAGGGATAAGGGCAAGTTGACGATGAATTAAGATAAATTAATTTATTCAGATGACAGGAGATCATATGAACGTAAATCCCTACGCGCCACTGATCAATAACTATGGACCTTCAGGAGCCGCTCTTATATTCGGTAGGAAATGGTGGTATTTTAACCAGGTAAGAACGAAGATTCATTCTTATAAAACACGATAATACAGCATCTTATTTAATTACTATTCCGAATTTGTTTGGTTTATTTATTTAATTTGCAGGACGACTACAAACCTTTGTAAGAAGAATAAGAATAAAGAACCTGAAAGCGAATGTTTATTTTTATTTTAAGATGTGTAAAATTATTTCCTCTCTTGTTCTAAATCAGGCTACCGAGATCCATCTTAAAAGTTGTACAAATTGTAACTTTTAATTGTCTATGAGTGGGATTTAACTTTTTAATTGGATTGTATGAAAATATGCAGAGTAAAACATTTTTAAACAATTATTACTTATCATACTTATATTATAAATGTGAATGTTTAGTTGGATGAATGGATGGCTGAATGTTTGTTAGAGTTTGTAGCCTAAACGGCTGAACGGATTTCGATGAAATTTGGCATAGATGTAAAGGATAGTGTGGAAGAACACATAGGCTACTCACTTTCGTTTTTTTTGTTTTAATTCCACGCGGACGGAGTTGCGGACGAAGTTAGTAATTCAGTATAATAAGGATAATATCGTATCGGTTATTTAAAAGCCCGCGCACACCTTTGACTAAACTATCGCACAACTGTTTAGTCACGATTTGATTCCTATGAAATTATATGGAGGTGCGCACTCTACTAAATTTTAAGTTATGCAACTAAACAAGTAAATGGACTGCGAAACAATATACGATCGCACAACATTTGTGCGATAGTTTATTCAAAGGTGTGCGCCCACTTGAAATGTATTCATACCATGAAAAATGTTTATAAAAATTACAATAACCGTTGGCTTTCAGTGACGATCTAGAGTCTGCATAAATTGTCATAAAGATTCCCTAGCCACCTACATACATTTCTATTGGGCTCTTGCAACCTTGACCTACTTAAGTTTATCGGGAAAACTTATTTAACTTGGCCTTCTACTACTCAAAATTAAGACATTGAATTTAAGATAGAAAATTCCATAAATTGCCACCTACTATAGCTAAACAAGATTTTGTATATTATGGGCCTGTCCCACCAAATTGTAAATTGTCTTATAACAATCGAAGGTGTAAATGTGATGGAAATATCGGATTTTGTTTCCTTATCTGACAGTGACATTTTAAGCTATCTGATGCTCTATCAGCCAGTGGTGGGAGAGGCTCTAAGTTTTATTAGAAAACAGAAATTAATTATCTAAAAATAGACTTCAAAAGCGCTTAATATCCTCTACATTTGAACTATATTTGGATAAAAAGCATACTCCGCAAACAATCTCTGTGAAAGACTCTTTTGTGTCGTCACATCCTACACACACTAATGCCATATATTTCTACTTCCTAGCATTCATAAATTCTATTTTCAGTTCGTGGCAAATATTTGAATAAGATCTATTGAAATCGGGATTTCTAAAACTATTTATACGAACCGAAAATGTATTCAAACAAATATTTGCAATGCTATTTACTATATTTTGCTGCTATTTAAATTTTAGACAAATTATAATTTATACTAATATTATATAGTGAAAAGATTTGCCTTTTTGTATGTATCGAAATAACTAAAAACTACTAGGCTAAAATGGACAATTCTTTCATCATTAAAAAACTACGTTATCAAAAATTCTTTCAATATTTTAAGCTACGTTATCAGTGAGTTACATAGGCATGTTCTTTATTTATTATTTATTTTCACGGAGGCGAAGTCACGAGTAACAGTTTAGTTTATCATTAAGCATTATAGGAACTATGAAGCAGTACTCGGAAAGCATTCTGTGAAAAGCATAGGGGAAGGTCTATGTTAGGCATTAGACAGACACAGGCTGTTGATAATGCTGATAAGAAGTATACAAGAATAGAATAGAATATTAACATAATGCCATAAAAAAGAAACAAACGGAATTAGACAAACGGACTTATTTATATTTATACTATTATAATAAAGCGTAAACACACACTTCTTTGTTGCCTAAGATGTCAGCAATTACAGCATATTTTTAAATAATTCTTTATTTAATAAAAAGCCCTACACTTACGTCACGCTTTAGGCTATATATTTTCAAGCTATTAAACTTAGGGGGTAAATATTTTGAATAAACATCCTAATGTGGGAAAGAGAACATACGTTGCTGCCAACATCAAGGAAGCAAGGTTATCATCATGTCATGTCATTTTTACATTTGCTATTGATAATTTGACAATTGTAAACAATAAATGAAAATTTTCATAATTCCATGCGGATGAAGCCGCACGGAAACAGCTAATCTAAATAATAGCAATGGGAAAGGGATTTAAATGTTTAATCAGATTGTAAAAAATATTACAAATGTCACTCAGCCTACGCTAGAGAAACATCAAGAAAAGAGAAAAAAAAATTAAAGACTTTTTACTGGATTAAACGCTTATAAAAGTATATTTTGTTTTATTTATTGACTAAAAATTGCCGTATTTCATTACTTCTTTCCTATAAAACTTCAAAATTCAAAGTTACGTCATTGAAAACTTGGACCGTTTTTACCCAATTTCTTGCAAGTTACGCTTCCCTAACTTTGTTAATAAATGAGGTTATTATTTGAAAATACAACATTTTCCCACCCAATTTGTTGAGTTTTTTAAATTATGTTGTACAACAATTCTTAAAGTTTGACTTCTATTAGGTAGCAATTAAAAATAATTGCATAGTGATATTTGACACCAGGCATCTTTTACATAGGAAAACTTTGAATCAATTCCACTTATAATTATTGACATTATTTTTTTTCTTAAAAACTGGTAATCAATCTACTTCTTACGTACTCATAGCTCTTACATTTTCAAAGTCGTAGATGATCAAAGTGTTCAAACTTTTTTGTATTTTCATTTTGAGTTAATCTTAACATTCTATTTACACGGACATGATTTTATAGTGATTTGAACTATCAAATACTATTAATAATGAAAACATTCAGTTACTTTTAAAAATGGATAGCAAGAGAACACAGATATTTGTCGTTATAGTTATAACTGTAAGTCGTACAATAACGAGAGTAATTAATGTTAAGAAGAATCAAGAAATATACACGTGAAAAAAGTTTTGAACATCATCAGCGAGAATCTTAAAGAGCTTCTTGACTTAGTCCGCTGTCATTAGAAGACCAAATGGAGCTTAGATTTTGTGATCACGACTAGAAATAGCTGATTGTGAAAAGTGAAATATCTTATACTTTGATATACAAGGCTTTATCTATCAGTAGACTGATGATGATGATAATGATGATGATGATGATGATGATGATGATGATGGTGATGATGTTGATGATGTTACGATGAACTTTTTGTGTTTATCCAATAAATTAATACTATTTCTTTTCTTAGGCTTATTATATTGGAAGTATAGATGCTAATAACGACAGATAATTACGAAATTTAATTTAGAGTAGGCACGAAACTTATCTACGAAAGGACAGTAAATTTAATTATAAATTTAATTTCAGAGCGTGTTGCCTTGTAATGGAGTCAGTTTGCTACAACAGTTGGAGCATATTGCTGTAAGATCTTGTTTGGATATAGCTTATCCATTCTGTTATCTATATCTACAGAAATAAAATTGTAGTGTCTGTTTGTATTATCAAAAGAAAAAAATCCAGATTTCGGGAAGATAATGTATTTGCGTAGCTGATAACGAAAATCGTATTAAAATTTTGTCTGTCTGTCTGTCCGCTAGCCGCGTTTATTCCGGGTAACCTGCGAAACGGCTGGG